CTTCAGGGTCCTCCACACAGTCTGTGCATATGCTGGCCACTGTGTGGAGAGGTAGTGTGACATTCACTCCCTGGTTCCCATGCCGTCTTTGGAGCAGGCCCCCACTAATGGCTGCCTTCCGTCATACCCTTGGCCAACTTTCCATCTCTAGATTGGGCCGAGTGTGAGGCCTTTGGTGGTCTGGGCAGCCACCAGAACTGCAATGGGCAGCAGTGAGGGCCTCACCCACTTGTAGCCTAGTCAGATGGTACAGAAGGGTTGGGAACAGGCTCAGGATTCTTCTCAGGAAGGAAAGAGGCTGGAGTCCTGAGCCCAGGTAGCCTGTCTCTCAACCTGTTCTCTTGTCCTTACACACTACACCTGGTCATGAGGGGATCAGCTGTGCTGGGCTCTAGGGCAGGAGGTAGCAGTTAGGACTTGATGGTGCCAGTGACTGTTGGGTTGGGTTCAAGTCCTGACTCCACTGATCACCGGCTGTGTGATACCAGAGAAGCCACCTGATTTCTCAATTGAGGTTTCCTCACCTGGGGAGTGAGCAAAGAAGGGCAGCTACCTTGGGGAAACTGACTCACCTGGCACCATGGTTATATGCAATACACGTCGGTGCTGGGTGGGGACTCAGGGAGGAGGCATGGGAATGGCTTGTTGAAGCCTTCATGAAGCTACTAGCCTGGCTGAAGCAGAGGCTGTCCAGAGAGAAGACAAGGCTGAGTCTGGGATGTGGAGTCCCAGTGTCCTGCATTTGGCTCCGGTGTCCTCCATCATTCTAGAGTTGAAGGGGTGGAGGATGTATTCACATCCTGTCATAGCTTGGCAAGCTCATATGGGTGCAGGAAAGCTGGTGATTCTGCCCTCCAAAGGACCCCCAATTTTCATCAGCCCTAATGCCACTGCTAGCTATGGTCAGACTTTAGAACCCAGAGCATGATGAGATTTGGAGTTGACTACAAGGACACTTGAAAGCTATGTCTTAAGTTTAGCTCTCATCTTCTCTGGGCTCCTTGTAAAAAGGAACCAAAAAAGAACAGGAACTTGGTCTCTCCATATTGTTGTGGAAAGGGTAATGAGACCCCAGAGGCAAGGTAGGAGAGTTCAGGGGCAGCAGGAAGATTAGGGTATCCATGGAGGAGGTCAGGGACGCTGGACAGGAGCAGGCCAGGATTAGGAGCAACTGAATTATATGAAGACAGGGAAATTGAGCATAAGGAGACAGTACACACAGGAGACACACACCTAGACACACATACTTCCATTCACAGGCCCATAGACCATTTTGAATGGAGCCTAGAGGATGGCAACCTCTTTTCTAGAATGTTCTCTGGTGACAGACTTTCTAGGACTCTAGTTTGAGATACAAGTTCCCTCCTTTACACGTGTTTGAGATAGGGTCTCATATGGCCCAGGCTGGCTTCAAACTCACTGTGAAGCTGAGTATGATAAGAACATCTTCTCTTTGTGCCTCCATCTCCTAAATGCTGGGATTACAGGCACGCACCACTATGTCCTGTTTATATGGTGTTGGGGATTGAACCAAGAGCTTTGTGTATGCTATGCAAGTACTCTACCAACAGTGCCAAGTTCTCAACCCCTCCTTTACACATTTTAGTCAAGCACATTTGAGCAGATTGAGTATACCTGTTCACTGGAGCTAAAAGAGAGACTTGGGGTTCAGACTCTGTCTACTGTGGGCAGAGAAGCAAAGGGGAAGAGGCAGTGTGCTCTGAAGCCTGTTTCCACCCCAAATCCTAATCTCATGGCACATGTGCAGGACACCTACTGAAGGGATCTGACCAGGTCCTTGCCTGATCTTTCTGGCAGCTCCTCCATGGTACATTCACTCACTCTGTCTAGGGAGAATGTTCTGGGCTTTATCTTTCCTACTATCAGCTCTACTCTGCTCTTATTCCCTGATCTTCCTCCCATAAACCCCATGTGAACCTTCCTCAGAACTCCTTTCTGTTTGGGTTAGATCCTCTGTGACTTAGGTCCATCCTACAGGATAATTTACACACAACTGAATCCATCTAACAGCTGAACAGCTGTTAAGTGCACAGCTGGCTGGATTGTCACTCATGTGTCTATGTCCCTGTAACCACAGACCAAGGCATCAGACATTTCAAGATCTAGGGTGGAGACCACCCCCAGAGGCTGACTTTTACCACTGTAGATTCTTGACCTTCATAAAAATGGTATCAGATGGTGTCTTTGTGTCTGGTTTACGTTACTCAACATAATGCCTGGGAGACTCAGGCTATTGTATGTAGCGGATGCTTTTTGTTGTTTTAATCGCTGCCTAGTGGTCCAGTATATGAGCCATCATAGTTGTTTTAAGCACCCCTGGTCACAGGTATTTGGGTTGTTCCTGTTTGAGGTTCCATGATTAAAATAGTCATCTGTATGCATACTCGTAGACACAAGCATCTGTTTCTTTTGGGTATGGGATGTAGAGTGGAATCCTCACTGGCTAGGCTCTGGGGCAGGATGATGTTGGGGAACAAGCTGGTGTGCCTTTTGGTGCCCACTAGGTACAGCTTCTTGGGCATGCCAGGTAGCAATTTTACATTAATGGTTGTGAGGAACTTGACTGCATACCCTGGAGCACTTGCATTTTTAAGGGACCACGTGACAAGGCTTGAAATATGGTTAAGAGGAGCTGTTGGTTGTCTCTTTTCTGGGGCTGGGGTGAAGGTCAGAAGTTAGTGGGGCCTCAGGTGGGGAGGCAGGCAGGGGCTCAGGATGGCTGCAACTGTCTAAGATACTGGAGGCAGCTGGGGCTCCACAGTCAATGACTTGTCTGAAACCATGTGGCCAACAGGGAGATCATCAACTCAGGTGATACTTCTGCCTACACTTTCAACCACAGCAGGTACCCCTCTATGGGGGAGATACCTAGGGACAGCCAAAGTGCTATCCTAGACCACATGGGAATTCTCCCCACAGAAGACTCACCAGATAACCCTTTTGTAGGCTTCCCCCTCTGCCTGGCCAACTAGTCCTGCCTCTGGCCCTGTCTGCTCCCAGAGGGTATATTCACAGGATAGCCTGGGTCATGGCCATGAGCTGGAGGGGTAGGGGAGTGAGCACAAGCCTGGGGGGCTGGTATTACTCAAGACTCTATGCCAGGACCTGCCTGTGAGCCAGCTGTGAGTGAGAGGGGGCAGCTCTCAGAGAACATTCCTGGAAAACAGTTCCTGCTAGTAACCCCTCAGGCTTTCTTGGCAAGACAAGAGCTTTCAGTCTTAGGTTGGGAAGATCTAGGATAACTTTGGGCATATGAGAAAGACGTGGCAGGTCAGGGGAAACACTACGTTGGCCTCTTAGCAACTGACAGTGGACATCCCTACTGGAAAGTTATGGATGGTTCATTCTCAACTAATAACAGCTGTATTCACAGTTTGACAACTTCAGGCTGTAAAATTAGGGATTCTCTGACTTTGTTCTTGGAATGGAGAGAGGCTGGGTGTGTGTGCCTGTAAGTGTGTGTCTGAGTAATGTTTCTGTGTGTATAAGTATCTATTACTTAACTATTTCTTCAATCATTCTGCAAGTATTTACTAATTGCCTATTATGTATCACTGGGGTTTCCACAGTGAATAAAAGAGACAAAGTCCTTGCTCTCAGAGGAGCTTATTATACATCAGAACACATCTCCACGTGATGCACGTACACCTGAAGATAAGCATTTGCTGGAACATGGAGCTGCTCTGTGTGTGTATGTATGTATGAAAAGGGCTCTGCATATGTGTTTCTGAATATGTGTGTATATATGTGAAGGGGAGAGAATTACTCATCCACTTAGAGAACTATTCAAGAAAGGCCTCTCCCAGAGCAGTTATATTTTCATAAATAAAAATAATCAGATAATGAGTTCATTTCCGATCTCAAGTTTGATGCCAACATTCCACTGAAATAAGACCAGCTGGCGGGCTGGCGGCTTTCTGTGTGGCTTGGATTAGCTGGGGAAAGTGCAGGGGGGTGGGGTGGGGGACAGACCTGCCACTTACAGGCTTCAGAGAGTGGGGGAACCTATGACCAAAAAAATCGCCTGTGTCTGGGCCTGAGAGCGCCTCTTCTTTATGCAGGTACCTGCAGAGCCCCAAATGGAATGTGCAAGGCTGGCGTTTCTCCACATACGTCTTTGTAACTAGTAACGGTCTGCACAGCTTTATAAATGTTGATGGCCCCCAAACATGGCCTACCATGCTGCTCTGAATTTCTGAAGGCCCAGTGAGTAACTCCTTTCCTGGGCACTCAGGCTAGAGTCAGAAAGAGGGCTACAGGGGACTAGAGAGATAGCACAGTGGTTAAGAGCACTGGCTGCTCTTGCAGAGGACTTGGGTTTGAATCTTAGCACCCACATGGTGGCTAACAACCAATTGTAACTCCAGTTCCAGGGGATCCAATGCCCTCTTCTGGCTTCTATGGGCATTTTATGACTTGAGTGCATTTACATACATGCAGGTTAAAAAAACAAAAACACTCATACCATAAAATAAAAATAATAAATAAAATATTTTTAAAAAGAAAGAGGGCCACAGAAAAAGGCTGTGGGTTGAGCCTTGAGGGGAGAGGGAGAGACCACCCTACCCATGGCACCTGCCTCTGCTTGGCCTCTCTTCTAGAAGGTCTTGGTTTCACAGTCTCATAGCCTCCAAACCATCTCACTTCTAATCTGATTCCCTTCCCTATGCTTCTGCCAGATGGAACTAACCGTCCTACTTTACCTTCTTCCCCCTTTGCATAGGCTGCTCCCTCTCCTGAGAATGCTTTTCCCCCAGCTTTTCAGCTCCAAATCCATCCATTCTTGAAGACTAAAATGTCACCCCCTTCATGAAGCTTCTTCAATTTTGCCAGTTGGGAGTGCTTTCTCATGCTAAGCAATGGCCACCTCCTAATTGTCTCCTAATTTTCTTCCTAGACTCTGAATCCTAAGACCCAAGCTCTATGTCCCATTCACACAGCTGATTTTCCTGAACAAGTGCTGGCCGGTCTAGAGACAGAACTGTGCCTGAATGCTGGCCGGAAAGGTACCCTGAGCTGAGCCTGACACCTGCTGCTGGCCTGTCTCAAGGGGACCTGTGAGGGCTGTGTCCTGATAAATGCCTACCTTGCATGGGAGGTCTTGGTACCAGACAAGAATGCCTTGGTGTCAGCATGGTGGCTGAGAGAGGGACCCAGAGGTAGGGTGGGGCAAGAACAGGGAAAAAAAATGAAGTTTTCCCTAGGATGCATGACACGGACCCTAACTCAGGACATCTGTAAGATGTCATGGGGGTAGCGTGGGGTGGGGAATGGACGGACTACGGGGGTGGGAGTAATTAGTACAGAGGCACAGACTGATTGTCTGCAAGAAAGGAGGAATAATCCATCAATGCCTGTCTGTCTATTCATCCATCCATCCACATTTAAAATTTTTAATTTTATGTGTAGAGGTAAGTGCTTGCATAGATGTATATGTACCATGTATGTACTTGGTGCCCTCAGAGGCCAGAAGAGGGAATCAAATCCCCTGGAACTGGAGATATGGATAGTCATGAGCTACCCAATGTGGGTGCTGGGAACTGAACTCAGGTCCTCTGCAAGAGCAGCAAGCACTCTTAACTGCTGAGCCATCTTTCTAGCCCCATCCACCCACTTTTTAACTATCCATTCACACATTCAAAAAGCAACAGCCTGGGAGCTTTCCTTACATTATTTCAACTACTTTTCACAACAGCTGTGTGAGGAATGTGTCTCTGTCTCAGAGGGGGAGCTGAGCCTCAGAGAAGATGAAGTCAATGTTCAGGGTCATACAGCTGGTGAGCCGGCACTCACATTCAGGTCAGGCTGCCTCCCCAACCCCAGTTCTTCCCACGCCAAAGAGGAACAAATGGCTTATTTCTCAGTCTCTCCACGGCTTCAGGCTGAGCTGGATCGTGGCCCTTGGGCAATATGATAAAGCCTTGTTCTTTGTCTGGGAAGTTCAGCCTGTGTCTCCACCCAGTGCCCCAACACAATTATGCTATAAACCAGCTTGTGTTCATCTTTAAAATCTTCTCTGATAGGGCCATTCGTAGGGGCAGGGTCCTAACCTATTGGGATGAAAGCTGGCAGAGTAGAATTTCTAGCAGAGAGGGGTCCCCTAACTTTGCTAGAAGAGAGAAGGTTCTAGCAGGAGGCTTAGCTTGGGAGAAAGACCTGAAGATGATTCCTCAGTCACCTAGGATGGGACTGAGAATGAATATTCTGGGGCCACATCCTTATAGATTCACTGACTAGAATGGGTGGGCCCAGAAGTCTGAAGTTTTAGGAAGCTACAAAGGCTTTGGAGGTGAATGGTCAGATGGTGGGCAAGAAATTAACACAAGTCAGGCCTGATGGCACACACCTATAATTCTAGCTACTCGTGAAGCTGAGTTAGAGGGATTGCAAATTTAAGGCCTGCCTGGGCTACAGAATGAGTTCGGCCTGGGTAACTTAGTGAAACCACTCTCAAAATAAGAGTGGACAAAATAGGAAATATGGGATTGTAGGTTAGTGGTAGAACACTTGCCTGGCAAGTGCGAGGAGCCCCTGGGTTCAATTCTCAATACCCACAAAATAAAACAAAGTGAAAAAGCATTAACACAAAATAAGACTTCCTTTAACGTGCCTGGAGATGGAATTGCTGTTTGAGCAGAGTCGGCACAGGGTCCGAATCCCTGTGGTCATCTGTTTTGTTGTTGTTGTTTAGTACTGTTTTTCAAGTGTGTGCTGGGGCAGGGATTTTGGATTGTCCAACCTCAGGTGTGGTTCCTCACTTTCTACCTTGTTTGAGACAGGGTCTCTCGTGTTGTTCACTAGGTGGTCTGTGAGTATCTGGTGATTTTTCCTGTCTCTGCCTCCCATCTCCCTCTAGGAGTGTGCTAGGATTACAGATTCATGTGCTTCCTGGTCCAACTTTTATGTGGGTTCTAGGGATTTGAACTCAGGTCACCAGTCTTGCTCAGCAGGAGCTTTACCACTGAGCCATCTCCCCAGCCCTAGACTTCTTTAAATGTGGCCTAGTCACTCGACTTGACCAAATTACTTTGGGGGCTCAGTTTCATTGTTTAATATATTTCCTACTCTTCTAAATGTTAATGGTCTGTGGATTTGAGAATTCTACTACCCACATCTACACTCAAGATCCTGATCAACATGTTGAGGGGACCTGGACCAAGATGGGCTAAGTAGCTCTATTTGTGCTGGTAAGCTTTTGGAGTCAAGGTTTCATGTAGCTCAAGCTACTCGAACTTGGTATGTAGCTGAGGATGACCTTGAATGTCTGGTCTTCTTGCCTCCATCTCCCAAGTGCTAGAATTACAGATATACACTACCACATCTGGTTTATACGATGGTGGGAATTGAAAACGGCTTTGCACATGCTGAGCAAACACTACCAACTGAACTATGTTCTCTGCCTGTTAGGGGTCTTGACCACTGTCACTTGAGGAGTTAGATGAAGATTGCTCCACTCTCCAGGGCTCCGTTGTGAAGGAAGCTCTGAATAGCAGCTTGCTGGAGTCCAGCCGCCACTCTGCTGTCTTCCTTATTCTGTCAGCGGGTCACAAAGCCTGCTTGGATCAGCCCTGAATGTGATGGTTATTGCACTTCGAACGTACACATTTGTCTTTTCACATACATGTCTTATGGTGACATCACTGTCATGGATAAGTAGGTATCTCTTTGCAATAGCCCCCACACCGCTGCCCCACTTTAGACTTAAGCCTGCCTTGGTGTCCATGTTGTTACTTGATGATCTCTAAGCCAGGAGACCCATGAACATACTTGTGGCCCAGAAGATGGAATGGGAGTGGGGGAAGGGAACCTCTCAGAGTGATTTTCCTTTTAGCTGGAGGCTTGGGTAAGAGGTCATGGTGATGGGCCGTGAGTCTTGGAATAAAAATTCCTCCTTCCAGGGGAGGAAAGGGCTGGGATGCAGCCTGGGGCTTCCAGAGTGGGAACTTGAGTTCCCAGCTGGTTGTGTGCTAAGTAGAGGTGTTGAGGGGAGTAGGGTCAGGGGCAGACTCTGACATTTTCTGGACCTTACTGGGAACTCAGAGCTCAGAAATTTGATCAGGGACTGAGGCAGCTTCAGACATTTCCCACAATTCTCAGTGGCTTTCTCTGGAGAGCCCCTGATCCCTAATCTGTCCCTGCCATAGTGGGTTAGGGACAGGGCAGGAAGCAAGCACTTACCATGCCGAGGGGGCTGGGCTGTCTTAGACTATGGGGAAAGGAAGAGTGGGGAAACTTTGGAAAGGAAATGGAGAGTCACTGGGGTGTGGAGGTCTAAGCTCCTGCTCCTCTATCAGGCTCCTTTACAGGGCTCTGGCTAAACCATCTTGCCCTGAGGAACTTTCTTCTCCTCTCTGAGGGGAGTCACCCTGTTGCTAAGCCTTCCCTTTCCTTTCTTCTCACTCTGAGGCTCCTTGAGGAGACAGGGTCCTGACACTCACTCTTAGTCACTAGTCCAGAGTCCACATCTCTCCTTACCCCCAGCTCCAGAAGCCTGGAGCGTTTTTCCACCCAGGCAAGCCTCTCTTGGGAGTTAGAGGAAATAGCTATCAGGGGAGAAGTTTGTGTTTGAAAAAGGAGATACTCCAGAGAAGAGACTGGGTATAAAGGAGGACAGGAAGAGGGTAAGCCTGTCAAGCCAGTGCTGCTATCCCAGGACAAAACCCTTGTTCCATGGTCCATTGAGCTTCCTCAGCTGAGCTAGGTGTCATAATGTCTGTCCCCTGGCCATGAGTGTGGTCACTCAGATTCCACTGGCCTGGAGACCTTCTACCTGAGCCCTCTTTGGCCTGCAGATCCCAGAGCAGATACTGTGTCCTCTGCATGGAGACAGCCTAGAACAGGGCACAAGAGTCCTGGCAGGGCTTAGCATCCAACATCATGAACTTCAACACTGCTTTCACTCACTGAGCTTGAGGGGGAAAGAGATTTAGCAGGAGGGCCCTGGAAATTCTCAGAGCGTAGAAGGAGGGAACTAGACCTTGCCTATGCTGCTGTGCCCACACCATCTGTCCCAACTTGGGAATCCCATCTATAAGGCTAACTTTCTTCTTTTTCTAGAAAAGCTCAGGTGCAAGCCAGTTTGGCCCATATGGTACATGTGCAGCAGTCTTTGCCATAGTCACCACGATCCTGCCTCACACCAGGCCAGCCTGCCCTCCTCTGGTGTGCCTATCACCTCCTTGCCACAGTGGGCAGGAGTGTATGGTCCTGACATTATCTCCTGTGAGGAAAGATTCCTGGTCAGCTGGAGGATGGCATCCACAGAAATCAGAGCATTTCTGGCCCTCAGGAGAGTCTAGAAGATCTAGCAATGAGGAAAGGTCCCTACTCTTCTTCCTGCTTCTATGGTACCACGGGCCCTTCCTGCTGCCCTGTGCTTTGGAGGCTCCCCTCCTATAGCTGCAGACATGAGCTTTGAGAGAGCAACTCTCTTCCTTTGATCCCCTAACCTTGTCCCTACACCGCCCCAGGTAAGTGGCCTCAGCACTGACTGATTGTCCCTGAAGGGAGTGGACCTCATGCAGGCTGGGAGCCTCCACTGCCCAAACTTCCCAGGCTATGGGTGACGAAGGGAGTGAGAGCAGGGCACTCTATAGCTCTACTGCCAAATGTGTTGCCCACCCACTCGCTCACCCACCCACTCACACACCACATAATTGTTGGATGCCTACTACCTGCCAGTGGTTGTGTGAGGCACACCTCCTTCCAATGAGACCTGTCTGCATCCCACCTCACTCATCCTTAAAATCCATGGATATGACAGGATCTCACTGAGACAGGGTCTCACTGTGTGGCTCAGGCTGACCCGAAACTCCCAATCCTCTTCTTTCCCATTCCCAAATGCTGGGATTACAGGTGTCTGCCCCCACTGACAGCTTTACAAGATTGGGTCAGGATTAAATGAGATGATAATCTGCTTGGCTTGGGCACTCAATGAAAGTTATTATCCAAGTCAGCCACCCATTATTGTTATTACTGAGGTGGGTGGGGTCCCTATTTTCTGTCTCCTTGCCTCTCTCTTTCCTCTTCCTAACCCCCACCCCTACCCCCAAGACCCCAAGCCCAGCCAGGGGTCTGAAGCCAGCATGCAAACCGGCCAGATGTATAGAGGCCTCGTTATCCAGGCGTCTGGTTCGTAGGGGACCCTGCCCGCTGACCTCACGACCCCCGTTTGCGCGGGCAAAAGAGGGGCCTTTTGTTCCCCTGCACGGCCTGCCTGGCCGCGCGGCTCCCGCCTTAATCCGGCTAATTACCGTCCACAAGGCGGTCGGCCGCGCGCTCGCCCACCACTTTCCCACAGCCTGGAAGAAAGCCCCTCAGTGCAGCGCGGAGAACAGAGGCCGATTCAGCCCCGGGCTTCTGCACCCGGCTGCCCGGCTTCTGCTGCGCGCATCCGGCCGCCGCTGTCTGTGTCCCCGCTGACGGCGACCACTGACCCGCCACTTTCTGTGATTTTCTGACTCTGTGTGTCTCCAGCTTTCTCCCTATCTAATCCGTGTCTCCCCAGGTTGCTCTGTCTCTCCTACGCTCTGAGGCTTAACCTGTCTGTTCCCTGAACCTTTCTTACAACCAGCATCAACCTCCTCATTCATGGGATCCACTTGGGGATGGGGGGCACCAACTTATCTTTCAGCTGCCCTAGCCTGGCAGCCTCAAGTCTCCCTCCTGCCTTTCTGGGGACCCCAGGGCTTTGACCTCTCATAAATGGAAGGAAATCAGGAAAGTTATGGGACAACTAGGGATAGCTCAATGGTAACACACATAAGGCTATGGAAGAAAGGAAGGAAGGGAGGCAGGCAGGGAAGGAGGGAGGAAAACTATTCTGGGAACCAACTTTGTCTCTTGAATGGTGTTGGATGAAGCTCTGGCCTCCCTGTAGTGGGGACAGCTCTGAGACAGTGAGAGCACATCTGAAATGGGCATCATCCTGGGCTGTGAAGGGTGCGTGTGTGTGTGTGTGTGTGTGTGTGTGTGTGTGTGTGTGTCCCCGATCCCAGCAGCCTTTGAGCACAGGGGCTGCCAGAGAGCCTTAGGAAGCTATATCATTTGGCCAGAGTGCCTCAACTCTCAGTCTTGAGGGTAGCTGTTAGCCTCAGAGGGTTGGCTAAGGAGAGGGCCTAGGCTGTGCTTGGCTGAGTCTGGTCCAACCACCACTGAATCTGAACAACTGCTCATTAGAGAAGATGTGGCAAAGAATGCTGGGCAAGTCAAGTCAAGAAATGGCCCTATTGACCATTGTGGGACCCAAGAATTTAGTTCTTTTATTCATCTCAAATATTTATTGAGTGCTTATTATGTACCAGACTATGTTCTTAGCGGTAGGGAAAAGCCACGGACCACGTGAAGATTGCTGTGCGTGTTCTAGTTGGGAGGGCTGTGGGTGAACAGAGAAGGGAAACGGGCTGTTAGACAGTGGAGAGGGTTAAGGAAAATGCGAAGCCAGGAAAGGGTGTTGGGAACTAGGTGAGGAGGGTGGTCAGGGCTCTCCTTTCTGGGTTGGTGGGTGGCATTTGAGTGGCGGCCTGAAGTGATGTCTGGGGCTCTTCTTCCAGGGCAGTGGTTAGGTTTACAGTCAGGTTCCCACCAGGCTGCTAGATGATTCTTCTGGGGCCCCTGGCCCCAGTCACTGAGTGGTACTGAGCCCCACTGAGGCCCGGCAGAGATGCCTGGCTCACCGTAGGGCAGTTGCAGGAAGAGGTTGGTGAGAAAAATTGGACTTCAGGGAAATCCCTGCCCTTCGTTTTTCTTGCCCTTCTTCCCTGTCTGAGCTGTTCTGACATGGTAACCTTTGAAGGAACAGACTGGAGATGAAACACATGGTCTTGGGGAAAGGGTCCTGGCCATGGTGGTCTGTGTGCTAGGAAGATGTAGCTCCCTCATGTGTGGAGGGAAACCAAGGAACCCAGAGGCCTGGCCAGAGAGTGTTCTCACTGATAGCCCAGAGAAGCTGGGTGCTGGTTGAAGAACCACTGCATCTGAATGGCCCCTTGTCCTCCCTAGTCAGTCAGGGGCCCAGGCAGCCGTCTCCACTCTGGACCTTCTTCTATGGGCTGTGCTGCTCCAGACTGTGTGAAGCAGGCAAATGCAGGAAATGCCTGCTGGGTCTGAGTATTTTTATAACTCTGTCCTCACCCCATCCCTGCTTGGAGACCATGAGTTTTCCATTCCACCTCTCTGGGCCTCAGTTGAGGTATTTGGAAAATAGTTGAACAATAGGGGTAATATCTCATGGGGATTAGGATAAGGGTAAATGATACAGATAGCAAGAGGGCTTTCTTGGCCAGCAGCTTCTAGTCTCTTTTGACCCATACATTTTCCATTTTGGTTTATTAACCATACATATAATCAGAGCAAGAGTTGAGAGTAATATTATGCTGAATGCGTTGGTTTATTTTGTGCTTGTCTTCATTTTGTTTTCACAAGTTGCAAATCATGGGGGCTGGAGACATGGTTCAGCAGTTAAGAACACGTGCTGTTTTTTCAGAGGATCTGAGTTTGGTTCCCAGTTCACAACCACCTGTAACTTCAGCTCCAGGAGATCTGATGCCTCCTTCTGGCCTCTATGGCACTGTACTCATGTGTACATATCTACATACATACATACATACACACAATAAAAGATGAAAAAATCTTTAAAAAATAAATCTTAAAAAAATTGTAAGTCATGACTGCAGCTTGGTTTTGGTTTTGGACTGCAATTTAGAATGGGTTATAAAAATATTTGTTGATTCATTCACCACCAGGAGAGCTTGTTAGAGGCAGGGTAGGAGGTCGACTTAGGAGATACCACCTTGGATGCATCCATCCTGACTCCTGGGAAGTCTGCCATTGACTTGACTTTGGACCTGATTCTCTGAAGTTGGTTTAGGCCCAACTTCTCCAGCCATTTCCCCTCCTAGCTGATCCCTTTGAACCTCCCTGCTGGCGAGTCACCTTCATGCCCAAAGATAGACACAGCCAGCTAGACATGAATACCACCTTGTCTCTCACTTTTACATAGGAAGAAGCAGGCCAGCCAAGGGAAGTGATTAATTTGCGGTCCCTTGGTAAATCAGTTTCAGAACTAGAGCTAGAGTTCAGGTGTTTGTCTGCCTATGGCCCTCTTTCACTTACGGCCTACTTTTCTGCTTCCTGCAAAGCCAATCCTATCTCCCTTTCCCCTTACCTCTAGAGACTAGGACTGGCCTCTGTAGAAGAGGAACAAAGCAACAGGCTTGGTCTAGGGTCTACCAGCCCTGCGGCTAGAGGCAAGCCTGTTGCACTTCCGAGTCTCACTGTCCTCCTCTTTAGAGTGGAGTTCTCTGCTTTTCCAAACCCTTGGGATTGCTTTGTAGATTAGAGGAGACTATGTGCATAAAGACTTGAAGAAATGTTTAAATACATGAGACCAGTGGAAGATTGGGGATTTTCTTAGGAGAGTGCAATTATTTTGAGTTATATTGCCATGGTGGATTCATGACACTTGTGGTCATTTGTCCATATTTGTTGATATTTGTCAAAACCCACAGTATGTTACAGTACAAGGAGTGAATCTTTGTGCAAATTTAAAAGTCTCTTATGTGGTCAGAAGATGCTAGGATGGAGTGCAGAACAGAGCAAAACTAATTGAATAGCAAATGTGTGAGACAATGTCATTGATGTGACTGTGTGTGTGGAGGGTGCTGGTTCTGACCTAAATAAACTTGAATGTAAGACTAGTGGTAAAAGAAACCATGTCTAAGCACTGTACTCAAGTTAATAAAACTTTTCCTATGGAGAAAGGGTTAACCAGTCCGAAGCCAAAGCTGCTGGACATGTATATAGAAACTGAAGAAATGGGTAAATGGATGGCAAATGGCAGGTGTCAGGTTCCTCACTGTGGGAGTGAGAGGTTATAGGTGAGGAAGGGGAGAAGGCTAGCCTGATCTTTAGGATATGGAATTAAAGTTGTAATCTCAGTGTGAGAGCAGGACTACTTTAATGTAGATACAGGTGGTTTCATGCAGAAATATTTATGTGTGGTGTCTAATTAGATGTACATGTGGCTTAGTATGCCCACTGGGCTTCCCAGCTCTGTCAGATGAGAGGGTCTAGAAGGAAGGACAGCAACAATAAACACACCAAAGATCAGGTCTTGGTTTCTTTTAGAAAATATTTTTATTGCTAGGCACATGCCTTTAATCCCAGTACTCAGGAGGCAGAGGCAGGTGGATCTCTGTGAGTTTGAGGCTAGTCTGATCTACAAGGAGGTGACTACCAGGTCAGCCAGGGCTACATACTGAGACCCTGTCCCAAACAAACAAACAAAACAACTTTTAAAAAATTAGTTCCTTGGGGCTGGAGAGATGGTTCAGCGGTTAAGAACACTGTTTTTGCAGAAGACCCGGGTTTCAATTCCCAGCATCTACATGGCAGCTAACAACTATCTGTAACTCCAGTTCCAGGGGATCCAACAGCCTCTTCTGTCCTCCTCGGGCATTGCATGACACAGCTGCACTTACCTACGTGAAGGTATAACACTCATACACATAAAATAAAAATAATAAAAAAATTTTAAAAATAAAAATTATAAAAAAATTAATTCCTTGAGAATTTAATGCAGTGTATTTTGGTCACATATACCCCTACACCTCTCTGCTCCCCTTGGATTCTAATTTTTCTCTCAGGACACCTGGCTAGCTCAGTTGGTAGAGCTAGGAGACTCTTAATTTTGCTCTCTAATAAAAGAAACTAGAGTTTGTTGGAGAAGTGACCGTTTCAGGAAATGCACATGATGAGTCTAGAGAATCTTCTAGTTCTAGGATGTTAGGTAAGTACTAGGGAAAGAAGAAGAAGGAGAAGGAGAAGGAGAAGAAAATGAAGAGGAGAAGGAGGAGGAGGAAGAGGAGGAAACGGAGGAGGAGAAAAGAATAACAGGAGTATATCAAAGGGACCCAGAAGTCAAGTGAAAGAGCTCCACTGGCTAAAAATGGACTCATTTGCTCAGTAAAATGAGTACAATTGTATTGAATTATTAGCCAAAGTATAAAATGAGTATCTTTGAGTCCATGGTTGCCTAAATAAATGACAGACTAAATAAACAAATGGGAGGGAAAATAGGAAATGCTGATGTAGAATAATTCCAAATGATTGATGTGAATACTCAAAGAGGATAACTTAAAAGTGACTGTGCACAGTGCCTTCCAGATAGCATGGCATGCAAAGCAGAGGAAAGACCTTTATCCTAGCAGAGAGAGAGGCCTGGCCTACCTCCGCCATGTGTCAGAGTTAACATCAACAGTGAAAGTCATGTTGCCAGCATGCACTGTTGATATGGAATAATGAAAGGAGCGCTTTACTTCCGTGGTCTTCCTTTTCAAACCTTAAGCCCAGCCTAACCATGAGGAAAGCATTAGACAAGTCTTAGCTGAGGGGTGTTCTATAGCACACCTCCAAACTGTCCAAACAAGGGAAGCCTGAAAAGCTGTCACAGCCAAGAAGACATGGCCACTAAAGGTAGACATTATCCTAGAATGGGGAAAGGACATTAGGTAAGGAAACTAAGGAGATTGAATGGAGAATGGTTTAGTGGTAGTGTTCAGAATATCACAAAGCAGATCATGATGAATCAATACTGGCTTATGGAATGTGGCAAATGTGCCTTGCCAATGCAAGGCAAAGATGAGAGGAGCATCTGGGTATGGGCTTTCTGTACCATCTTTGTGATTTTTCCCAGAAATGTACAACTATGCCCAAATAAACATTTTATACAGAAAATTCAAGGCCTTATGTTATTCCCAGCCTATGATTGAGACAGCTGGAAGAATGCTTTCATTCTTTATTGGGAGAATGCTTTGGGAAGGTTTCAGAAAGTACAAAGAAGGTTTTGGGAACTATTCAGGGTTAAGGAATCTAGCTATGGAGACAGGGTAGAGGAAGAAGGTCTGTACCTGAGGTGCCAGGGTACAATGGTGTCTTGATGCCCTTCCCTGCTCTGGGAGGGCTTCTGGAGGAGATGAGTGAGTAGGGAAATATTCTGACACTCCTTCCATCTAGAGGTGGGGTTCAAATTCCCTCCTGCAGAATCTGGGACATATGACTGCTTTGACCAATAAAGAGGGAAAAAGTGATGCTGTGGCCTGTGGGTGGACCTGGGATTTTAGAAACTGTCAGCTTCCACTTCCTGCCTTGTGGGATGCCTCACCCTTGGCACATGGCTTCCATGTTGAGAGGAAGCCCAAGCAATCTCCCACAGCTGGTGAAGAGGCCCACTGTGCAGAGACGAGGCCTCCAGCTCTCAGGCCTGGCTGTGCTCCCAGATGACTGCCGGTCCTGACTTGCTAACCATGTTAACCATCTTACAAGTGGATCCTCCCATCTGCAGATGGGCCACCCCAGCCACCATCTTGCAGAGTGAAACTAATCCTTTCCACTATACCCTGCTTGAATATAGATTCATGAGCTAAAATTGATGATAGATCAGGCTACTGAGTTTGCAGGTATGCGTCGTGGTAACCTGAACTTCTGATGCAAGGGTACAGAACTCCTTTGTGCTCAGGTATGGTGTGGTAGTTTGGTGAGGAGATTCTGGAGCCAAAACGCCTGGGTTCAAATCCTGAATCCACAACTTATCAACTTTGTGACTCTTAACAAGCTACCTAGTCTTTCTGTGCCTCAGTTAAATCATCTGTAAGATCCACAGAATAGTAGAGATACTGTAGAATTACTGGGAAAATGAAATGAAAATTACCTGGCATGTGCACAATTATTCTGCCAAGTCAGAGATGTAGGCTACTGGGGCCCTCCATCATATAAGATGATCTTGCCTGGCTCCCATGCCTTCCTGGACCATGAGTCATCATCCTTCCTGTGGTACCAAGTTCTCCCTGTGAGGCTGACCTTGTTAACTTCCATAACATTTTTTGGTTCCCTGGTCCCTCCCTGTACCCCTCTTGGTTCTGACTGCCTGTCTGGCTTCCTTTTGTCTGTGCAGTCAGAGAGTGAGAAAGAATGTCAGGTGTCCGTGGAGACCCTGCTGTGGGGGTGGGGTAGGCCTTTAGCTCATTAGCTACACTGGGAAACAGAAGCCTTCCCATCTATCTCCTGAGAAGACATGGATTTTGTTGATGAAATAAGAGTCCAGAGAGAATGGGGGCATAACAAGGGCAGGTCTGGCTGAAGGGCACAGGAGAGTTTTAACAAAGTCTAAGAAGTGCCCAATGACATGCGATGGTTCCTGAGAAAGCTCAGGTTTCATCTTAATTAGATTTAGCCAGAGAAAAATGAGCATTCTCTACAAGACTTTCCCACACATCTTTGTGCAGGTTCTGGGAACTCAAAAGGGCTTTGCATCTGGCTCTACCCCAAGACTCAGGTGTCACTGGCTCTAGGAGGCTACAGGAATACAGTAGCCTCTAAATTGAGCTTTTCAAATCAAAATGGGTGCTGGGGGTGGGGACTGAAGTTCTCCTGGGGTACAAGGACCTTTATGGTGTGTGTGTGGGGAGGGGGGTCCTGACCCCTGAGAGGTAGAGAGCAAGATGGTCTCCCAGACTCTAGCAGCTCCTTCCTGGGCCTGGAAGAATGGTCCATTGTGGAGAGCCACAGCCTCCGCCGCCATTACAAGATGGCGCCGGTATCCGGACCTTCTTAAAAGTAAACATCCTGCCACACCCATAAGGGGCGTGCACAAGAGCCTGCTTTCCCCCGCCTCCTCCCGTGGCGTGATCTCCAGCAACCAATCCACTTCTTATACATCATAAATGGGACCTTTGGGGCATATATAAGCAACAGCTCTCCCACTTCTCGGCGTCTTTGGTCTTCAGTCTTCAAATAAACTGCTGCAGAAGGATCCTGACTTGTCCTCCCGCGTCGTTCTTGCCGGCGAGACGGAAAGCGGTCGGGGACAGCTGGTGCCGAGACCCGACTGGTATTTCTCCTATGGATGGTCTGCAGACTCAGAACCCAAAATAAGCGAGACAAGGTGGTTATTGCGCATGCACTTGCAGCCCTGGAACATGGGGCTTCCACTGACGTGTGGTTGACTATGCTCAAGCAATAGATTGCTGACAAGACAGCTCTTGCACGCCCGGAACCTAGGTTCACTGCACTGGGCAGAGTGTCCAACACAGCACCCAAAGAGGGTTGTTGAATAAGGTATCGCACAGGGGGTCAGCAAGATGGTCTCCCAGACTCTAGCAGCTCCTTCCTGGGCCTGGAAGAATGGTCCATTCTTCATGCTAAGAACGTCATGTTGTTGGCCTTGACCTAGAGTGTAGGAATAGGATTTGGAACTGGAAAGCAGGGAGGACGGAGAGGGTTGGGGTACATGGCTACCTAACCAGGAAGTAGGAAAGGGCATGCCACTAAGGGAAGCTGGCTATAAAGAGAATGAGAGGCCACCTGACCCCAGGCTCCCATTTCTGGTTGTGTTCTGGAGCCTCTGAGTCAGTGTATGCTGGGGGTGCATATGGAGAGAACCCTGAATCTGAATTCATACTCTGCCATTGGTCATAGGGATGGTGGTAGGAAAATTCTGTCCCATCTGGGAGTTCCATTTATAAAACAGAAATAGTATTGCACATGTGTGCATGGCTCCACCCCCAAACATTTCCCACAAGATTATATATATATATATATATATGGCTTGGAAAGGTCTTTGCTCTGTCAGTGTGTCCTGTGAATCAGCCAGGAGTTCAGGAATTAGCAAATGAGGCTCTGTCCAAGCTGAGTGGATCTCAGACCCTTTCCTGTGGAGGAGGAGTCTTTGGAACCTCACAGTCAACCCAATGGCTCCCCACTCTGACTGGGTGTGTGAAAGAACCCTCAGAGCTTTATAAAAGAAACCCAGGGCTGGAGAGATGGCTTAGTGGTTAAGAGCACTGTCTACTCTTGGAGTGGACAGAGTGCAGTTCCCAGGACCCACATGGCCGCTAACAAGGGATACGTTCCAGGGGGATCTGATGTTCTTTTCTGACTCCTTGGGCATTATATGCACATGGGACACATACATACATTCAGGCAAAACCACTTATACACATAAGAGAAAGAAAGAAATAAAAATAAAAAGAAACCCATATTGGATCCCACTGGAGACTGATAGACTGTGGGTAAGGCCCAGAGTTGGGCTGCTTTTAAGGCCCAGGTACAGACAGGACTGAGGACCCTGGCCCCCAAGGCATGCCGGGGTGAGCAGACAGGGCTGAAGTAGGGAGGCACAAGGTAACCAGTTCCATAAGTGCCAGATGCAGTCAGATGCCTCTTTAGCTGGTATGGTCCCTGGCAAGACTCAGGGATATTCCTGCTTAAATGGAGGCTCCAGCTTTCTGTCTTGCTAGACTCTCGAGTACTCAGCCTTGGCTGCCTTTGGAGCAGCCAAGCAGTGAAGGTGCCCCCTGTAGGAAGGTCCCCCTCATAAGAAGTTCCCCCTTTAGGAAGGTTCCCCTTATAGGAAGGTCCCCCTCATAGGTCTTGTGTGCAGCTGGCAGGAGACCTGGAATCTGTCGGCAGCTTCATTGAGATGCTGCCCCAGCTCTGCCCTAGTTCAGGATTTCAGAGCTTTGGGGCCCCTGCCCAGGCCTTCCCCTGTTCCCTCTGTCACCTTGGAAACAGTACTTGGTTGCTGGGGGGCCCTGAGAGAATGATGGGCAGGAAGGGCCATGAGTGGGGAGCACTAGCAGAACCAAGGTCACCATGGGTGGGATGCAGAAGCCAGGGCCGGCCCACCCTGAAAGGGCCTGTCGAACACTCTCTGACTTAGAGGGATGTTTTTCTGTGTTTTCCCCACCTGGTTGAAGGTGCCTTTTTCTAACATGCACAACCATGTTAATATGTCTAAATGTTGCCTGGGTGCTTGAACTGACTTCTGGCAATTTGGGGGTTTGTTCTTAGCCCTCCTACCCTCACCCCATCCCCCACAGATGACTCTGACTTTGCCTACCTCCCAGATAAGGAAAGATACAGTCTTCACCTAGGCACCATGACAGCCTTGCTCCCTACCAAGCCCAGGAGGGAAGGAGGCAGGGGGTGGCTGCTTCAGTTCTCTGGGCCTTTCCCAAGCTGAGAATCCTAGTTATACCTCCCAAGGTCAGTGACTTACCTGTGGGAATATAAGTGAGCACCAACAGCATGCTTAGTTTTCCTGGCCTTTGAGATTACATGACACTGTGGATCCTTTGTTACAGCCAGTGTGAACTGAGGAGAGCAGGCTCAAGTGAATGACCCAAGTTCCAAGACCCCTGTGATTGCCTTGGGTTCAGGCTCAGCTTCTGGACTCTCTGGGCCTCCAAGGCAAGGATCTTCTCACCCTTCCCAGCTGGGTTGCAGGTGAGTGTGAAGGCTGGCATCTAGCTGGCCAACTGGAGGCTCCCACTCTGAGCTGAGTGATATAATTGCTGCTTTGGTGAACCTGCCATGTACCCTTAGCTGCATGGGAGAATTGCTGCCAAGGATTGTTATTGGCTTCTTTAGAGAAGGGCCCTGGCCCAGCAGCCTGGAGATTATTCCTTCCAAGCCCCTACTCCATATGTCCCTCTGCTCTGGGGCCCAGGGTGTCATCTAGGCCCTTTGCCTTCAGGTGGGTGGCTCTCAGCTCCCTGGGACAGGCTGAAGCTACAGGTCACAGCGTCCTAGCTGCCCTGCTCCTGAGAGCACTCCCCAATGAGCCACAGCCTCAGGGACTTCCGTCTCAATTCAGCTTCCAGGCCCCAGGCAAGAACCCTTAGATTTCTGGGGCGCCTGCACCAAAGGTGGGTCAAGGGTTAGGATGGGGGAGATGAAGCTGGTCAAGGCCAAGTCATACCTAGCTGAACTATCTCAGAGCAGATGAGGGAAGGAGGAGATGGCAGGAGCCCAAGCTGAGGCATCAGTATGGACAGGGGTTGGCTGGGGCAGGGACTGCTCAGCCTCCTCTTCTTTTCCCCCTGCCCTTCGCCCTGGCTCTGGTAGCCACAGTTGTTAGCAGTCTCATCTCACAGAACTGTCAGCTATAACCCCAGACTCACTTTTTCTCTACCTCCTTAGGTCACCCAGTGAGTTCCTCTACCAGACACCAAAGCCTGAGCTCTGCTTAGGCCCCTAGGCACTGCCCAGCTGCCCAGCCATTGCCTCGGTGCGTGTGTGCGTGTGTGCGTGTCTGTGTGTGTGTGTGTGTGTGTGTGTGTGTGTGTGTGTATGTTGGTGCTGGCGGAAGTCAGACACTTAAGAGGAAAGAACTTAAGGGACACTGTGTCTTGAGTCTTTCCCTGGTGTGCTGGGAGCACTGAGGCAACTGGCCTCCCACCCGCTAGCAGCTGGGTTGGGAAGTCAGGCAGGCAGACTTCCTGCCTCCTTCCTTCCGCTTTCGTGCTCGTAACTTCCTCCCTCTGGCCACTCTGCCCATGCCAACATGGGTTGAACAGTATCCAGCACAAAGGCAGGGGTACAATGGAGACATTTCTGGCACTTGTCACTGGTGGAGTGAGGACCCTGTCAAGACTTCTTGGAGTCCCTCACATCACTGTGTCAGATATTCTCTGCCTTGATCTCAAAGAGGAGAGAAACCCATTGATACTGAACCATTCTGACTCCTTCCCCCATAACCACCCCCAACCCCCAGCCTGCCTGAATATGACGGGGACATCCACATCCTCTGGACACTGGGGAGGGAAAAGTGAAAGAAGCTGGGGGTTGTTGCTAGGGGTCCATCTGAGAGAGCCAAAGTCTCAGAGGAAGAAGTGCTGGCTGTTCCTCTGATGCGCTGACATCCCTGTTTGTTGGACCTGCATCAGCATCCCTGGGCCAGTGCAGCTGCTCACTTGTGTGCCTAAGTCACACTTCTTGTGTCCAGCCTGTGGTGAGCCTTCAGGGGGTAGCGTGAGGCTGCCAGCACCAGTGGACACTCTGGTCATGGCTGCGCTGATAAACTTGATGTCAGCTAGAAGGAAGGTGGCCCTGTGACCCCAGCAGCCTGGCTCTGAGTACTGCAGCCACTGTGCGTTATTGTACAGAACCCGTACCTGCCATTCACTCCCTTCTAGGAAAGTCAGGGAACTCGGGGCTTCGGGGACAGGGCAGAACATGTTTAAACAAGAGTGACTTTGGGATTTGGGAAAACCTCCTGCCACAGGCACAGGTCAGTAGCAAGTGAGGAGCTGATACCAGTTTTCTGGGGGCAGCTTAGCAATGTGTGATGATATACATACCTTCTGACACAGCAGTCTGCTTCTGGGAATTGAAATAATAGTGAGTTCATACAAGGTGTGTGTATGAGGATGTTTATCTCAGTCTTGTTTAGAGCTGATACCACTCTATGGGAGACTGGAACATTCACACAATGGAGAACTTGTATGCCATTCACACCGTAGTGGAATTATCAATAAAGCTGCCAAGAACATTCTGGCACAGTTCCTTTGGCTGACATAGGCATGCCTTTCTTTTGGATGTAGATGAAATTGCTGGGTTCAAAGGATTGTGTATGTTCATTTTGGGTTGATGCTGCAAAGTGATGATTGCTCCATTGGATGCACCCACGCCCAGCTAATGAGAACATTAGTTGCTCCAATGTCTTTGCCAACACTTAGCATTGTCAGCCTGTTTCATTTCAACTCTTCTAGTGAATGGGTAAAGGAATTGCATTGTGGCTTTAATCTGCATTTCTAAATATATGCCAACAAGCAAATGGCTAAATGAATTACGTCTACTTATAAGTTGGAAATCTATACAGCAATAAAAAAAAAAGAATGAAGCACTGGTTCACTCAAAAACATGGATAAACCTTAAAAAAACAACAATGGAAACCATGCAAAAAAGTATGTACTGCAGAATCCCTTTTATATAAATTTCAAGCCAGAGAAAGCTAATCTAAGGGAGTGGTACTCAGAACAGTTAGCTGTGGGGATGGGGAGATACTGGCGAGGAAGAGAACTGGGAGGTGGGAGGGCTTGCTGGTGTATTGAAATTGCTCAAGACCTTGAGCTAGGTAGTGGCAAATAAATATATACTTATTAAATTTTTATCAAGCTTAGTAGATTTACTGTACATAACAGGCCTTCTTAACTTTTTCTACTCATGGTCCCATATCACCCAAGAAAAAATATTATTTATTTATTTTTATTTTATGTGTGTGTTTTGCCTGCATGACCCATGTTGTGCAATGCCTGCGGAGGCCAGAAGAGGGCGTCAGATCACTCGAAACTGGAGTTACGAACTGAGGTTAGCTGCCATGTAGATGCTGGGAACTGAACCTAGGTCCTCTGCAGGAGCAGCCAGTACTCTTAAGCACTGAGTCATCGCTCCAGCCTCAAAAAATAATTCAGTTATATATTCACATATATGTGAATATACATATTTATGAATCTATATTTGTGAATACATATGTGAATATATATATATATATATTTTTTTTTGAGATAGGTTCTCATTGTGTAACCCTGGCTGGCCTTAGATCAGGCTGACTTTAAACTCACAGAGATCCTCCTGCCTCTGCCTCCTGAAAGCTAGAATTAAAAGCATGTGCTACCATGCCTGTCCTTACCTGAGAAAAGTTTACATGCCCTTGGGTATATAAGCATATAAATTATGTATGCAAATCAAACATTTAGTGATAATAAATCATGTTTAATTTATAACAATTCTTTGGCATGCATATAATTTTACCATTTATTAAAGAGAGAAAAGGAAATCTGTATACTGAGATGGATGTGCTTAATTATTTTTACATAAAGAATAAAACCTTGGCTGAATATTTGATACTGCAGGACAGAGAGTATCTTCAGTGTTTTTCAGGATTGATTGATGTTTTGATTTCTTTCATCAATGCTGAAGAACACCACTTCACATAAATATGTAATACAAAATAGCAGAAATATGTTTAGGACCATTTCAGAAATTGTTGGTAATTGTGGCCTAAATACCAAAGCCAAAATTCATTGAACAAATTATAAGTTAATTTAAAAAATTATTTTTATCATGCCTATGAGTGTTCTACCTGCATGTATGTAAATGCATCAGTGTTGTACAATGCCTGAAGAGGCCAGAAGAGGGCATCAGATCCCCTGGAGCTGGAGTTAAGGACAGTTGTTAGTCATCATGTGGGTGTTGGGAACTGAACCTGGGTCCTCCGTAAGAGTGGCTAGTGCTCTTAACCACTGAGCCATCTCTCCAGCCCCACTGAACGATTTTTAAAAATAAAACTCATGTCAGCAAATCAAGCAGCAAGTTTTAAAATCAACCATCTAACATAATACAACTCAGAGATATGCTAATTTGAGACAGCTGAAGAATGATGATAAGAAAATATTAAAAGTCTGTTTTTCATAATTAAACCATTATGTCTCTGTAAGGGCAGAAAACCTGTATGTACAGCAGAAACACTGCAATTCATAACATACAATATGACTCTGAGCAGAGGCATTTTGGGTAGCATTCATTGGCTTTTTGTGGTACAATGGCATGCTCAATGCAAAGTTGTGTATGTTCAGAACCAAGGCTGCAGTGAAGTCCCAATATGCAACACGGGCAGGTACTGCCAGAAACAACTTGGCTTCATTACATGTTTGATACTGAATTAATTTTTCGTTGATGCACATTCAAAAACCTTTTCAGCTCTTCCTACCAAGTAGGAGCAAAATTTTTCTCAATTCCCACATTCAGTAACATGACTTTATATGGGGTTGTCACCCATAGTTTAAGAAGCTGTGGTAGATATCTTATATTGATAAAGAAAAACTGAAATGTTTACCAAAAAGGGGGAAAGTGATGTAGGTCTATGATTTACATAGGATTAAGTTAAAAGTACTTACATGTAAAAGGTAAATTACAAATGTCTATTAACATGGAGGGCTTCCTTCATGATCTCTTGTCTGATCAAAGTCTACTGCTTCTCATTTTAAGCTAACATAAATATGGAGTTTCACTGAATGATAGATTTGAAGGGTATTGAAACCACTGCACAGAGCTGAGAAACTCTGTGATGCACGGATGAGGAAACCAATAGCTGTCAGTACCACAGGGCTAATAAAATGTTGTGTATCTCATCTCGAGGGTTAGGACAAGGCAGGAGAATCTGTAAATTATATAAAATGGAAACAATACATGTTAGACTACTCAATATGGAAAAGAAAAAATGAGGAGCAAATATTTTCCAGGTTGAGTATTGACCATGTGGATAGTCTCACATAGATTCTGTCATTAGAAAGAGAAGTAAAAAGAAAACAGGATGATCCTGGCTGAAAAGGACCTCTACACCTAGGGTGTTGAGTGAGCTGGCCATTAAGATCCCTTCCAACTCTGATTCAAAAAGTCAGAGCTAGGGGAAGCAGCTCGGCAGTAGCACTTGCCCCCCCAAG